GTGCTTGTGGGGGGGCGCCGGCCCCGGGCGCGCAAGTGTCCCCGCCCCCTGGCGCCCGGCGGGCAAACGGCCACGCCCCCTGGCATCCGGGAACCTCAAATGGTTGGGGACCACTGGTTTAGACTCTTCTGATTGTAATTAAATGTTCATATTTCGTTTGTTTTTAAGGACTCTATTTGAAAACAATCATTCTCCTGGGTGAAAACTTGGCTTCACTGAAGTCAATGAGAGTTCTGCCACTGACTTCAACAGGGCACTAAGAGTTCACCCTGTTATGTTTTTACACAGAAGTCACAAGATTTATTAACATGCAGAAACTCAACCTACCTTAACAGTAACTTTTACTGATATCATGACAAGATGAGTACATTCTTTTGACCAATCATTCACAACAATGCCTCCAAGCTGCAGAATAGCTTGATTTAAAGCAGTTTTCCCAGAAGCCTCTAAACACGAAGAGCAGACAATCAAGGGATCATATTCCACTCTGCAAGGAACAAGTTACAGAAGAGAATTGTCTACGACTGTCAAGCAATTAAAAAAATTAATTATGATTAACCACACAAACAGTAATAGAATACTAATTATTTTAGTCTTTTTGGCTATTTTCTACATTTTCAAATATAATTATTTCAATTACAATAGTATACGGTGCTCACTTTAGTTTGTTTTTATTACAAATACTTGCTCTGTAAAAAACAAAGAAATAGTATTTTTAATTCCATTACACATCCTGTAGTGCAATCTCTATCACAAAAGTTGAATTTACAAATGTAGAATTATGTACATAAAGTAACTGCTCTCAGAAACAAAACAGTATAAAACAACACTTATAGGTCCACTCAGTCCTACATTTCATTCAGCTAATGATTTAGACAAGCAAGTTTGTTTACATTGGCAGCAGATAATATTGCCCAGTTGTTTAGCTGAGCAAAACGTAGGAGTGAATGGACTTGTAGGCACTGAACTTCTACACTATTTAATTTTGAGTATAGTTATGTAACAAACAAAAAAAATCTATATTTGTAAGCTGCATTTCATTATAAAGAAATTGCCTTAGTTGAATGAGGTGAACTCATCATTTTTACAGTATATTTGTAATAAAACAAAGTGAATATTGTACACTTTGTATTCTGTATTGTAATTTAAATCCATATATTTGAAAAAAGTAGTAAAACAAAATATTTAATAACTTTCTTAGTATTCTATTTAACTGCAAATAAAATTGATTAATCACAATTAATTTTTAATTTAAGATTTTTAGTTAATCATGTGTGTTAACTGTGATCAATAACTTAGATTATGGCTGTTGATTTAAAGTGAAATTAAAGGTGGGCCAAATTAGCTGAGAACTAGGATTTCTGTCTGAAATATTTCCAGGGCTTTCTGAGCTGTGTGGAGCCCCAGTAGTCAGCAAGTTAGGCAGCTCAAACAACAGGAACTCCAAAGGCTCCAACTGCCAAAGAGCTGGGAGCCTGAAAGCCTTGTGAATGCTTACTTCAAAGGCATCCCTTCTAACTGGAGGGAAACTGGAAGTTTGGGAAAGAAATTTGTACGTGGATCTTTTAAGGTTTAACATAATATGCTAAATATATCGAATAGCACAACCGATTAAAGAAAATGCATACATAATTAACAAATTTCAAAGTGCATTCAAGTTAAAATAGATGTTGCTTCTTTTAAAGCACTGGTTCTCAACCATAGGTATTTGAAGCCCAGGAGTACACAAAAGTCTTTCAGGAATCGACTCATCTAGTTATTTGCCTACTTTAAAAAAAGACTATAAAAGATGTACTAACAAAGTCAGTACAAACTAAAATTTCATGTGACTATTGTATATACTGTACATTGAAATGTACAATATTTATATCCTAAATGATTTACGTCTGATTTTGTAAGCAAATAGTTTTTAAATGAAGTGAAACATAGGGGCATGCAAGACAAATCAAACTCCTGAAAGTAGTCTGGAAAGATTGAGAGTCACCGTTTTAAAGAACGCACCAATTTTGTTCAGCCTAAATTTAAATGTACACTGATTAAGAACACTTTGTTCCCTTTACATGAGAAATACAATTTAAAAAAATATTACCAGTTCAATTTTCTGTCCATTCCTTTTACATTTCCAGCACTGCCTTCTCTCTCCTGTTAGTGGAAAAAATCCTTCTTCTGTACAGTTCCTCTAATCTGAATCTGAATTGCTCTTCCTCATTAAGTCTCCTATCCCTTAAATCTTGCATGAGAAACCTACATTTTCTTCTTTGGTTTTGACTCTTCTGCTCTATTAGGGAATTATATGGTTCATTATTGGCTTCATCCCTCCACATCGGTGTGAAATTAGAGATGCAGCAGAACCCCTGCTTGAAGAAGTTTCCATAATATATAGGGTTTATAGTTTGGCTCAATTGCTCTTGGCACCTTCCCTCCCCCACTATACACATTGCTCCAGCACCGTTCCCCACATAGGAGGAGGATAAAACCCTGGGACTGGTAAGAGGACTGGGGGTAGCAAGGAAGTCTCAACTCCACAAGAGTTGCATCTCAATTTTTAAAATGCTGGAATTTTTGCAGCCAAATTACTATGGATCCTGTCAGCATTAGCTTTCCTAGGTGCTGAGGGAAGAAGCAGTTCTATGGGGTCAATGATAGGAAAGGGGAGGCTGTGGAATCTCTATCAACAGAGATTTTTTTTAAAGAGCAGGTTAGACAAACACTTGCCAGAGAAGGTTCACATAATAATCAGTCATAGAACTGTGTTTCTCACCAGTGGTACGAGTACCCTCAGGGGTACTCAAGAGAAGTCTGGGGAGGTACATCAACACAACTGAAATTTGAAGAAAACTGAATTTTTGTTTTAAGTTTTACAGCGCTTTATTATTTTTGTACTTTTTACACTCCAAAATTTCATCGCCCGCCTGGCTACAATTAAGTTGTTTAAACAAATGTATTGCAATGGTAGAAAAAAATTGTATGTCTGAAAACTGTAGGTACTGGGGGTACTTATTTTTTTTAAAATGGGACACTTTATAAAAAAAGGTTGAGAAACACTGGACTAGACGACCTTTTGAGGTTCCTTTCAGTCCTATGACTCCATCTTCCACGAGTGTATTTGTACACTGTTCTCTGGCATTGAATTGTTCAGATTTCTGGTGCTAAAGTCTCAGCTATATATGGTTCTATGACGTTTTCTGTAACATTTCAGATATATTTGCTAAACATTATTGACACATTGCACCCCATATTCTTCAGGGAAATATGCACATGACTGTGAATATGTATATCTGGAAGATGCTTTATGCAAAATACATCTTATAACGTATCATTAGACAACTTAAAACCTGTTGCATGTGTATATTCTATTTGTGTGCAGGTACCATTCTTGTAATTGAAGTTGGAAATATGAAGTATAAACCTATTGACTAATTTAGACATGCTAAGTGAGGGATATTAGCAGTACTCAAGGAATTTAATGGCCCTGTACTTGAATCAAGGATCAGTGAATAGTCTTGTTTTTCTATATAAGACTGAAATATGGTTGGGCCTGCCAAGACATCTGGCCAGATCACCTGATGCTGGAACCCATTTTCAGGGCTCGCCAAGCAGCGGCGAGCCTTGCTTGCCAGCCGCGCGGAAGCGCAAGCGCTGACCGTGCTGCGTGGCCTTACCGGCTTAAAATCTACTCACCACGGGCGAGTAGATTGAATCATTTGTCAAGCCCTGCCCATTTTGGCTATTGTACTTTTCTACTCAAAGTGTGAAAAGTTTAAACTGCATACAAAGGACTCCCACCTTTGGCCAAAGTGATATAAAGTTGGGAAGCCAAACAATAGGTGTGACTGCAAGACACCAGGACACCCGTTTACTACCCAAGATAACTGCTGGAAACATCTAAGACTGAACAGTGTCAAGGATGAGGTTCACTTCGGAGGTTCCCAGCTTGTGAGAAAAAATTATTATAACTACTATTAGGGGAAGAATTTGCATATAACAAGTTTCTTAAGAGTATTAAGTTTCACAGGCGTGTTTTATTTTGCTTAATAACCTATTTACCACTTATCAAAATCTTGGAATGGTCCCTATCAAAAATTGCCCACTCCTAATTCAGAATCACAGAATACCAGAATTGGAAAGGACCTTGCGAGGTCACTGAATCCAGTCCCCTGACCTCATGGCAGGACCAAGCACTGTCTAGATCATCCCTGATAGATGCCAATCCAACCTTAAATTCTACTTTTCATACTTAATAAAAATCACTATTGTTTATTAATAAACAAACCCAGTGTAAATAAATGTTACTGGGGGAGGGGGAGCAACAGCCGCGCATCTCTCTCTTTCATTGATAAAGGGAGCAAACATTTTATGAACTTACCTTGTAAAAACTTTACAGAGTAAGATTTATCTGGGGTTTTGGTCCCGTTGGGGCTGTGCACCTGGGTGCTGTGTCAAGTCCCTTTGACTGAACCTTCTGAGAGCTGAATGGATCTCAGTGTCTGTGTTGTTCTGCTGTGGGCTATGACCACAACTCTGTGTCAATGCTGGAGAAGACTGGAGGGCCTGGTTTAGCAGGGCAGGTGGGATGCCCCAAAGGATAGGTAAATGGGCTCAGTGGTATGATCAGCCCATTCATTAAGTGACAATCTCAAGGGGATCTCTGTGACTCAATCGATCACAGTGAGATCCAAAAATAGATTATTATAAGAACTGAAGAGTGCTATTTTACTACAGACTAATGACACTTGTATCACTGATGGAGTAGGAGCCCAGTTTGAGACACAAACTTAGCTTCCATCCTTTTTAAGTCATTAAAAAATGGTTATCAGTAACTTTATTTCTTCAGTGAATACCACTGTGTATTTATGAGGAAAAGCACTGCCTTACCTCTTAAAACCAAGGCTGTGTAAGAGTGCAGCTCCCCAGCTACCTCAGTTTCTTTCTCTCCACATCACTGATAAAGAAAGGAGACTGCCACACTTCCTCTCAACTCCCTAATTTTATTCCTCCTGTAAATATTCACGGATGTTTTAAGAACAGTTTTATTAAATATGGTTTTTATTCTTTGTTTAGGCTAATTGTAGAAGTCTTAGTCCTCATGATGCAGTGTCACTTATGGACTAATATTTTACCACCAAAGGTTTTAAATTCAATTCACAGGAGGAAATGTTATTCAGAAACTTCTACAAGAACATGGCTTGAACAGACACATTTATCTGTTTATTTTCCATCTTTACTTAATAGAAATGTATCATTATTTTCTTTTACTTCCTGAAGTACACCCTGTGATATTATTTAAAACAAATCAGGTTTGATTTCAGCATTTCAGAAATCAATCCAATTAGTTCTCACCTAAACTTGCTTTCAAAGACTCCAAAATTGACTCTATCACCAGACTTCAAAGTTCGAGAAGTACCATTCAAAAGTTTTTCTCCATTAACAAATGTACCATACTTAGAGGTGTCTTTTATTACCAATTCAGGGACTGTGAGAGCTTGACTCTGAAAATGAATATAAAATTGTCTTATTAGATACTCAAATATATATTGTTATACAACAAGAAGCAGCAGATGTATAAAATGAAAGCATGTATCTTAGGCCAATAGTATGAATATCTTATAAGTATACAGTACGCTGGAACAAATATCTTAGCTATGTAGTTCAAAGTTTATGACCTGCTTCTTCATTATAAACGGCTGAGAAAAAAATTCTCCATAATTACTTGAGTAGTAGTATTTTTTTGCATTCATCTTTGGCTATAATTCACTACCACTACCTTAACTCATGATACCATTGCCTCTGTACCCACGGTACTTCTATCAAGATGTATTAACATAGCGATATTGGGATGCATTTCCTACCACTTTTAGTAAATCATTGTGTAACATTGGTATACCATTGCTCATTTTTTTGCCTTTTCTGTTACCAGTCTAAAAGCTGTGAAAAAATGTATACAGATATGCTCTCTTACCCTACAAATAAAATATTCATATGAATTTGTTATGGGTCAGAATTAAAGCCCTCGGTGGACCCTGCATATACACAGAGCACCTATAATTTTAATGGGACTTCGTGCTACAAATAGGGTACGTGGTTGTGCCTCAAACTACACACCTATATTCTATGGCTGCAACGTTTCAGGTGACTTTTTGCAGGTGATAGTCATCAAATACACAAACCATCATAAAAGTACAGGCAGTCCCCGGGTTACGTACAAGATAGGGACTGTAGGTTTGTTCTTAAGTTGAATCTGTATGGGTATGTCTACACTACAAAGTTAATTCGAACTAGCGGAGCGCTTAGTTCGAACTAGGTAAACCTCATTCTATGAGGACTAAGCCTAGATCGAACTTACTAGTTCGAATTAAGGGTTGTGTAGCCCCTTAATTCGAACAAGTGGGAGGCTAGCCCTCCCCAGCTTTCCCTGGTGGCCACTCTGGCCAACACCAGGGAAACTCGTATGCCCCCTTCCCAGCCCCAGATCCCTTAAAGGGGCACGGGCTGGCTACGATGCCCGTGCCAGGTGCAAGCCTGCCAGCACCCAGCCAGCAGACC